TTTAGCAGAACAGCATACGTCATTCACAGAACAGCATACCGCGGAATTAGCAGAACAGCGCATAACATGCGTATTAGCAGAACAGCATACAGAATTAGTATAATTGTAGCTCGAATTCGAACATCAATGGACGGAACGCTCATTCCCGCTGATGATTTAGAAAAATTGTTTTTGTCAACAACAAAAAATTATTCTCATATTTTAAATCGTAAAAAAATGAATGATGATTGACGATTTTGAAATATGAGAATCCGTTTATTTTTGAAAAAAACAATTTTTCATTTTTAATGAAGTGAAAAATGAAGTTATTTTTCCATTGACAATAATCTATAGACTATACATTTAATTCAGTCGCCTTCTGTACTTATGGCCTGTAGTGCAGTGCTTATTCAGGGCCGTAGGAAGCTCTAATGTTAAATGTTCCGTTTGCCTAGTAGAGTTTCTAATTAAATGATGATGTGTCTAGACTTTTATATATGGCTTGGAGTTGGAGTAGAACAGTTAAGGCAGATGTATAAAAAAAGATAATCCAATTTTAGCATGCCATTCTGCGTTAATTACTTCGGTGCATGAATGTATTTTTTATAATCATAAAGATCGGTCTTTTAGGACCTTTTAGCTGTAGGATGACACGTTTTTCATCCAATATGGAGAAAAAGTGAGCAAATACGAGTCCGATAAAAATTGTTTGTCGAAAGTGCATATTTTCACCGTTGAGAATTGGGTCTAAAACTCAATTGAAAATTAATTCCCCCTTTAGGACTTAAGTTGATGAATTTCACTTTTGTTAAAATGACACATTCGTAATTAATAATTGCTCAGTTTTCTTTTCGTTATGCACTTCTTTAATTAGGCGCAACAGAGGTACAAATCTGCGATTTCGACAAACAATTTGTGTCGCGGACTCGTATTCGCTCAATTGTTCTCTATAATGGATGAAAAACATGCCATTCAACAGCCTAAAGCCTGAATTTTATGATTATGAAAAAATTACGCTCATATACACCGAGTAATTAACGCACAATGGATGCTAAATTAATTTGCATATATTACGCAACGTGCATGGGAAAACATTAAGGTTGTCACACAATTTTAATGCAAGAAGTTTATTTTTCATCACAAGTTTTACACGCTTGTAATTCTGCTGTTACATACTACACATATAGCTACCGACTATTACATCTACAGATACGGTCTTATAATATTGAGAAAACGTTCTTAGTGAAAATCCGGTCCTGGTAATCCTTTGTCTGCATCACTCGGATTTGTATTGTTTTTAGCCGATCCGAATTCTACCAATCGCGCGTTTTGGACGGGCACGAATTTGTTTAGACAGTGGGATACTGGATATCATCTCCAGACCAATGAGGCAGAACTTCGTTGGACGATCGCTCAGTCCATCCTGGACATCTCTTGAGAAGATGCCAATGACAGCGGAGGAGAAAAAAATGGGGGGCAATTTCTCTTCCAATTTCTCTTGCCATGTTTTGGCTTGGCTGCATTCGTCTTTTACCAGGTAGCGAAGTACGATCCTTTTTCGCTTCTTGCCATTGCCATTTCGTCGGTGCCAATGGAAAACTCGGTGGTTTTGCTGAAACCAAGTTCTTCCAGATTCGCTTCACGCAAGGCTTCTCGCAATTCGTAGCTGTTCATGGCGCCGTTTTGATCGGACACTTCGACTTCGTCCGTTTCCGAAACAGCCCCATCTGAAAAACATTGAAACCCACAAATTTTATAGGCTAATTTTAAACTATATATACTATATATTAAGCCCCGTTTACACTACGCTCAATTTTTGGTACGGCACGGATAAAATTGGTACCCGTACCACGTTTTTGGTTCTTGGACTACCTATTTAGGTAGTGCTTATATATAGCTTGTGAAACGTCTCTATGAGAACATTCGTATTCACTTCAACAATTTAAAATAAATGAATGATATTTGGTGAGAAAATTAAACTTAAAGTTTATATAAATCAGCATGATTTTGTATCAAATATACAAACTCCTTCGCGCTTATGATTTCTTCTGTGTTTTCTTCATGAATTATTAATGAGTTTCACAATTTAGGTTAAACTTTTTGTATGAACATTATTGTATCATAGTGCTGGCATAGACACTGTCATGATATAATACTCAATCTTTTATAAATATTACCTGCAACATACGATGATGTGACCGCCGCTGCAAAGACCACGGCCAAAATGTTGAAAGACTTCATTGTCTTTTGCTTCGACCTTGCTTCTTTTTCAAGTCCGAATTTTGGAGATATTTTCGTTTGTTATTTCCTTACTGATGTGCAGGCTCCGAGCACTGAATGATGAATGAAGTATTTTCCAAAGTTGACTCCTATTTCTGTATTCTATTATATGCGACTCGATCTCAATGCTCTTTTGTAAATGACGTGTGCTGTTCTGCTAATACGTGACGCTATTAAATCCGTGGGTCTTAGCTGTCATTCATTTTTTTACTGACGATTTTGAAATATGAGTCGGTTCATTTTTGACAAAAATATTTTTTTTAAATCACCAGAATGAGTGTTCCATCCTTTAATTAATGTCAGAATTCTAAGGTTATCCATGGCAGTTTGGTTTACCTGAGTAACAGGCATTCTTTCGGATTTTAACCGTGGTATAAAGAAAGGGTATAAAGAGGCATTGTCATTTTTGTGATGGAGCTATCAGATATTGAGACGAATTATCAGTTCACTCACCCATACCTTGGCAGCCCAATAGCTAGGCGTGTTAAATATTTTACTAGAATATTCAAACTTTTAATTTATAATAAAACTGTTTAATTAATAGAGCGTTTGCACATGACGTCACAGCCGCCATGTTGGTGTTCCAATTCAAAATAATTTTAATTAGCCTCTAATTTTGTCTAGACTCTAGATCATGGCTTTTGTTGAGTTGGTCACCATAGCAACCGCATGAGCTAAATGTTGAAATGTGAACAGGGGCATCGGAACCGGAGGGGGGGGGGAGGGGGGGGAGGGTGGGCAGGCCCCCACAAACTTCGGAACTTTACAACGAACATTCCGAATTTACAAGTAAACATTGGAAGTCAGTTTTGAAAAGCAAATTGAAATCGAGAGTATTAAAGCTGGCCAGTTACAGACAAGCAAGTTTTATATGACAAAGATTGACAAGTTTTTTCTCTCCTTTGTATAGGCAACTTTGCCAATTTTTACTATGACAAGTATACTTGTTCAATGGTCGTAAAGCAGCGGATTGGGTCATGATCTTTCCCATCAGCCGAAATACACCATTTTAGAACTAAAAATACGCGGAGTGATTATAACTAGAGAATATTCATGATTTATATGTGGTTTACAGGTATCATGAACTATTATAAACTGGCCGTTGAGAAAGATCGTGATTCGTGACTTGAAAATGGGTAGGGGTGAGGATAATTTCCATCCCTTCTGAGGGGAAATATCATTTTTCATAATCAAATATTTTACCTGTATGAGAATTTTTAGAGTATTCACTGCAAATATCAGAGTACGTACAATAATAAACAACAAGAATCAATTCGTTTTCTCAGTAAGACTGTATCTGTAGATTTGTAACAGCAGAATAATTACAAGCGTGTAAAACTTGTGATAAAAAATAAACTTCTTGCATAAAAAATTGTTTATCAACCTTGTTTTCCCACGTTGCGTAATATATACAGCATGAGCAGCCGTGTTGTACCCATGCAGGCTTTACCCACAACGGCTAAAGTCTCAGGAAAATGATTGGCTTATAGATTATTTTGAAATATTAAAGCATCGATTTTTGCCGGTTGAGTCCATTTCTACTTCATCAGTGACTTCTACTCACTGTCAGAAATAACCTGGCTGTAATTCTAGCCAATCAGGATTCATGAAATCCAGCCAATTACAAAACTGATAAACTTTAAAGATGTTGTAAAGTCCGTAATGTAAACAAATGCTTTGTTTACATTTAGAACTGCTATATTTGTAGAATATGATATACTAACTGAATATCTAACACTTTTCGGGTTCGCTATGAAAGATGCAAAATTTGGACAATGTTTATATCTGCGGGTCTCGTTGGTTATGAGTTTAAAGTTTTTTGGCCTATTTTGGTAGATTTTGGCTCTTTGTGAACAGCATTTGGCTCCGAGCATGCGCGAGAGCCTACCCAACCAGCGTTCTCACTTTTAAGAAAATTTCCTTAAACTGAGGAAATTTGAACTAGTTTAGGGAAATTTTTAAGGAAACGAATTTTTTAAGGAAATTTTAAGGAAATTCTTTGACATTCATAATATTTTACATAATCACTTACATTCGTAAAAGATTACATCCAAACAACACTTTATTTTGTATTTTTTTCCAGAAAAGCAAATCACTATCGTTATAACACATTTATTTCTCTTGGGACACGCGTGTCCTGCGCGTAAACAAAACAAGTTAACATGAATTCAACGTCAAAGTCAACTGCCTTTTTATGTTGGGCTATTCCAATTATTATCCGCACCCCCCCTGTTGAGGAACCCCTTTCTCATGTCGGTACTCCCCTGGAATTTCCGCAAATTTTCATGTAAAATTTACCCCTTCCCATGGAAATTCCTTGTAAAAATTACCCTTCCCCATGGAATTTCCATTCTAAATTAGGCCTTCCCCATGGAATTTCCATTTAAAATTTGGCCCTGTCCATGGAATTTCCATGTGTAAATTACCCCTCCCTATGGAATTTCCATCATGGGACATTTACTCCCGGAAATTTGCCTCTAACATATGTCCTCCCATGGAATTTCCATCCCATCAAATTTACCCCTCCCTTTGGAAATTCCATGTGAGAATTACTCCTCCCCTTGGAAATCCAGAGCCTGAATGCCCCCTTCCCTGGAAATTCCAGGGTTAATGCACCCCCTCCCCTGGAAATTCCAGGGTTAATGTATTCCCTCCCCTGGAAATTTAAAGTTAATGCACCTCTCCCCTGGAAATTCCAAGGTTAATACACCCCCTCCCCTGGAAATTCCAAGGTTAATACACCCCCTCCCCTGGAAATTCCAAGGTTCCTCAACAGGGGGGGTGTGTGGATAATAATTGGAATAGCCCATTAGTTTAACCCATTAAGCTGCATTGTGCCATAGTGTGCCCTACTTTATTATTTTACTCTGTTTAGTGTCAGATTTTAAAGGCCCATTTTGACTCAAGAAAAATTTCCATGGACGGAAAATTTGTTTCAGCCAATCAAATTGTACAAAATTTTCTTCCTGCGGAAAATTTTGGCCAACATAAATTTTCCATCGGGAAAAAATTTTGAAGTTGAAAATTAATGATATTTTTGGAAAATTTTCTGTCCGTGGAAATTTTTCTTGAGTGGAAATGGGGGTTTACTCCTCAAGGGGAGAGCACTGGTGTTCCATCAGTTTTAAATAAATTGAAATTTCATTTATTTTTTTTGAAAGATTCAAACTGAAAAAGAAGATGAGAAATTGGCCATGACTGTGCAGGAGGAAGACTCTCCGGTATGTCCAAATATCAAACACAATCTTTCCATGAAGATTTTCAGTGTTTTAAATAATCTTAAAACAGTTCTATGTAATTTTTCTGAAGGAGCTGCTGGATTTTCTACTCCGAGTATATCCAGCTGTCATGGCTGAACTAGACAAAAGTACAAGAAGCCATGCTTTTGATGGTTAGTTAAAACTTAATTTTCATTGTTATGATATATATCAAGCTTCCTGGCAATACCCTAGATATAGTTAAATTGGGGCATTCCAGAAAACATACATACCTCCCCCCCCCCCCAAGGGGGAATTAAACCCCCTTCCGATGTCCTAATGTACTTACTATCACCAGAAACAAATCCCCCCCCCCCGGTGGACAGCAGAAATTTCCTCCATGTGGGCAGGGTGGAACTTTTCCAACCTTGTACCCAGGGCCTTTGCGCGGTTCAGAGGCTAGCCTGTGAACTGTGCAAAGGCCCCGGGTGCAAGGTTGGAACTTTTCTGGAACGACCCATTCTAATGTTGTTCCTATCTAACTGTGTTATACTGTTACTATATTTACTAGGTTATGAAGTTGATTGGGAGGAATCGTCAAATTCTGTGCAGTGTCTTCATACATTATCACATGCTGCTCTGGAAGAAAAAGTGAGTAATAACAGAAAAAGGTAGGTCATTTTCTGGGGTAATTATGTTGGGTGCACCCCACTAGAAAACATCTACCCCTAATTCCCCAGCATCAAATGCAATTGTTTTCATTTCTGACATATTTCAGGCTCCCCTCCCTATGACCCCCTCCCTCTCTGAAAACTCCCCCTTGGGAAAGTCTACATCCTGCTGCCAACTTTTTAACCCCCTCTCTTGAAAAGTGTACAATTCCACCCCCTCCCCTGATGGAAAGTGAACACCCGTACCAGATCAGCCTTGACCTGCCCTTGATTCTTAATTCTTCTCTTTGTTCTAGCTTGAAGTAACATGTCTTTCCTGGAACCCAACTGGTGCTGTTTTAGCTGTAGCATATGGCCGCTATGATCATCAGGATTGGTGCACACACAAAGTACTACATTTCCTTTAATTTAAACCAACATTGTATTTAAGTCTGGACCTACAGTTTGAATTTAGAAAATTCTTTTACAGATGAAGTGTAGTCAAATGTAACTGTAAAACTTCAAAGAAAACATAATGCATTGTTATTGGAAAAAGTTGGTGTGGGCCAACCACAAATCTTTCAAATTTTAACTGTCCGATCTTTCTGAGCTCCATTGGTCTACTCTCCATTTTGCAATTCCCAAGAGCTGTGTTAGTAATAATTCAAATCTAGGCAATTAAGTTTACTCACATTCTACTTCTAGTCTAGTGCTTGCATGAACCCTGCTTAGCAAATGATTATTTATATTTTTTCTTATTTTCTTAGTCTTCTCTGTGTACCTGGAATCTGGACAGAAGGTCACTGAATGCAAACAAAGCTGATTTGGCTATTGATATTCCTGTGAGTAATGCAATATGCAATAGACATTTTGTGGTTTTTATGCAGCTTTTTAGGTAGATGTTGACATCTTGTGTTCCTGGTTTTGCTATAGAGTTGTGTTATGAGTATTGCATTTCATCCTATCATTCCATCCCTTATTCTTGCTGGAACATTCAATGGTAAATTTACCAAATTTTATACTTAGAGATCATTTACATTATTTTACAACAGTAGGGCAACATGTCATTCCCTCACCAGTTATATATCTACCTCACATTTCTCTTGTAGGTGCAGTGTATGTTTATGACATTGGCAAAGAAGATGATACATTGATTGCCTCATCAGGTGTTGGAGAAAATTCTCATAAAGACCCAATTTCACAGGTACTGCATTTACTGTAGTTTAGAGAATCTGTAAAGTATATGGAAAAAGTACCTTTGTATATATGGATAATGGATTTATGAATCATTACTTTTCATCTGTAGGTGATGTGGTTAAATGATCCAGCATCCAAAGATAAAAAGTTTAAGGTAATCTGTTGATGTATTTTTGAAAATTCTTTACAGTAAAAAGTATGAGTCATATTGATCAAAATTTTATAACTGAAAAACTATGAACTGCCATTTTGCTATAGAGTCAGCATTGTAGAACATTTTATTTGCGTGGAGTTCTTCCATCTTCCTCAAGGCACATTCCTCTCCACTCCCTAGAAAATCCTATGTTATATCAATTTCCATATAGATCATGAGTGCGGGTGGTGATGGTAAAATCTTGATTTGGAGGTTGAGTCAGAGCAGTAAGAATCTCAAGTTACTCAGTGGTTTTGTTGTCCAAACTGACAGTATTCCTCGTAATCTCAGAGTCAGTAAAGCCAGGGGAGATAGCTTGGTAGGAGGTAAGTTTTTGAGGAACAGGATTCCTTCAAGAAGCACCGTTGTCTGATTATTCTGAGAATAGTGCTGTACGTGACTGGGTTCTAAAGTTCCCTTCTGTGGTACTGAACCAATGAGGGATGGCTTTTATCCTTGACCTAGCTGTAGGGAAAACAAAGCAAAACCGTAATTAGTTCCTTCAATGTTTGCATTATGGAAACATATAGAGCTATCCAGTATAAAGTTAAGTTACTTAGTTTATAGTCTGTCAGGAAATAGATGTTGATCCATACGCACATGCAATATGTCTCCACAGATGATGTTGCGGAGTAATTGCATACAATTTGTATTTTCTAGTGACCTGTCTTTCGTTCTCCCATGAAGACAAGACAACATTCGTAGCAGGTTCTGAAGGTGGAGGTGTATTTAAATGCTCTACGAATGCCACAACAACTGCAACCTCAGGTATGCGCGATATAATTCACTGATCCTTCATCTCTTCTCCATCTATGTCTCCTTCCATATCAACCTTGTTTCAATCACCTTGGGTATCTAAAATTTATACACCCAAAATTTTTTGATCTCTTCATTCCATTATCTCTCTGACCAGCTCCCCTCCCTTCATCTCCTTTTATTACGTGTTCATTCCATCCCAACCTTCTCTCACTTCCTCTGCAATGTCTACAATCCTACATCTTCCTCTGAGCGATATATGATGTCTGTGACTCGCCCTTCATCTCCTCTTATTACGTGTTCATTCCATCCCAACCTTTCCCCTCTTCCTCTGCAATGTCTACAATCCTACATCTTCCTCTGAGCGATATATGATGTTATGATGTCTATGACTCGCCCTTCTTCAGCTCCTCTTATTACGTGTTCATTCCATCCCAACCTTTCCTCACTTCCTCTGCAATGTCTACAATCCACATCTTCCTCTGAGCGATATATGATGTCTATGACTCGCCCTTCTTCAGCTCCTCTTATTATGTGTTCATTCCATCCCAACCTTTCCTCACTTCCTCTGCAATGTCTACAATCCCACATCTTCCTCTGAGCGATCCATGATGTCTATGGCCTGCCCTTCATGGCTTCATCATGTCCTATTACGTGTTCATACAATCTCAACCTTACTTTCTTCCTTGTAATGTTTACAACCCCACATCTTCCTCTGTTCTCTTCATTCCACATTTCCATGATGTCTGTGACCCGCCCTTCTTCATCTCCTATAACGTGTTCATACCATCTAAACCTTACTTTCTCCCTTGTCATGTTTACAACCCCACATCATCCTTTGATCTCTTCATTCCATGATATCTGAGACCGTCCCTTCTTCTTATTACGTGTTCATCGTCCTCTGCAATGTCTACCGCCCCAAATGTTCTGATCTCTTCACCCCATCGTATATATCTCTGGCAAGCCGGCATCTGTTCCCAATAAGTGTCTATGCTATCTTAGACTGCCTCAATCTTGTAACCTTGTTCTTCAAGACTTCAACCAAACCCAAACCTGCATCTCTGTAGTGTCCTTCTCTTGAATTCATAACTGCCTTTTTAGGTTTCGTAATTTTCTTCCTTTTAACAGAAGATATCCAGTCTGTTCCAGTTCACTCTCCTGTCACATTTGCTTTTCATCCATACTTGGGTCCAATCCACTCAGTATGTTGTTCACCACATCACAGAAATCTATTCCTGACTGCTGGTACTGATACATTAAGACTATACAACATGTTACAGGTAAAGTGATGACAGTTTTACTAAATCTATAGATACTACCGTCATTGAATAATTAACTTTAACTATGATTTTTTCTTCAGTTAATGCCATCCCTGACGATCGAGCCATCATGTGGATACTTATATTCAGTTCGTTGGTCTTACACAAGGCCTGTTGTGTTTGCTGTCGCTTGCGGAAATGGCAAAGTTCTACTATATGATCTCAAGGTAGGATGATCTCAGGGGAAATACCAACCTAAAATGATCGTGTTTTTGTGATTGGCTTCATAAAACAATAGTAATCAGTATTTGTGACTCGTTCATTAGAAAGATAATTTCTACAGTTCATTGTCTTTTATTGTTATCATTAACCAATCACAAAGCCCGCGCATATAGTTTGGTGGCGACCCTGATCTCGTCAGTGGCCAGCAAGTATATTTTGTCGCCCATTTTTCTCACATTACGTTATTTTATTGTAGGCGAATAGAATTAACCCGGTCATGACTTTGGATGGCTGCTCGAAAGGAAGCTCTATTTTTACTGCTGAATTTAATCCTTCGAGGTAAGACCTCAAAAATACCAACTGGAAATGTAAGGAAATTTAAACCAGGGATATTAACTGGACCCAAACAGGGTTATGCCTAGGCTTGATTACCAGCCGGCATTCGGGAAGCTTCCCTGAATTGGAGGGTTCGACTTGAGTCACAGTGGGTAATCGAGCTTAGGTTATGCCCAGGGCTCAAAATAACGGGAGATAGGTCTCTGGTCAACTTGATTTTAGCTCGGTCAAAATGTGTTTTTGACCAGTCATTGATACGCTTACACTGACAGTGAAACAAACTATTAGAAACTTGTTTCGATACATCATAGTTTCATGTTTTAATTCAAGACGTCAGCAATAACATTGGAAGGCATGAAAATGTGGCCAGTCAAAAATGATCGATGAGGTAAAAAAGTGACCGTTCAAGAGGCATTTTTGGCCGGCCATTGTCCGTTAACCGGCCGTTATTTTAAGCCCTAGTTAAGCCTAGGTTAGCAACAAGGCATTCTAGTTATCAAGTTTTGTGAATTTTTTTTCTATTTCTTCACTCTGACAGGAAATATTTACTAGCGTCCGGCAATGGCCGAGGTGAGGTAAAGGTCTGGAAACTAAATGATGATCTCGTTTCCCACAAACCACGTGATCAAGACATCCTGGAAAGTTTAGCAGTACTTCATGTAGATTAAATGAGATGCCTCAGGTAACCATTCAGTTATATT